CTATTATTTTATAATTATCAATGTATTAGATTTATACTAAGGAGAATCGCAAACAAAATATTGGCAATCAGTATTGGTCTATTTTTTGGTAGGTAACAGTCTCCTACAGATATATTAAGAACATCACGGACATTACGTAGCATACATTTTACAGAAAAAAAGGATTTCTGTATTAAAGGTTTATTGATCAAACACTATTTGTTTATCTTATCCTTCAGACAGAAAAGCAACAAATTACTGCTTTGCAGCTATGATTAAGACGATAGTTTCCAATCACACAAACACATCGGTCTATCGGAATTGATTAGTACTTATATGTGAAGTGTAACTTAGTTAAACTTGAGTAATGTAACTAAGTACATTAAAGTCAGGAACCGGATAATACTTGCACTACCCGCATACCAATCACGACATTACCTTTTAGTACCTCAATAATAACGGTATTCCATTATCTATTGTTATTATCTACGTATATAAATAAATATAACAATAAAACTTATACGCTATCATTATTTTTAATCAACAAATCCGTGATAAAGTTATCAGTTTATCTAGACCAGACAATTCTGTTCAGTAACAACATTACGCTGAAAATAAATGTATGGAGTATTAAGAATTGTGGGGAGCGGCATTGGAGGGTCGTATAGAAAGCTGTTCGTTGTATTGTCAAAATTGTTTGGGGCGTTAATAATTCGTCACACGCCTCACTTCATCGTAACTGTTATTTTCGTGCGCAACAAATTTCATTCTAAATGTGAACATGTTATTTGTAAGAAAATGTGTAAGTGTAAATGGAAAGCAGTTCTCTAATATTGAATTGTTCTCGACTCTCGCACAATGGCTGTTTGTGTTGAGCGTATTGAATGTTGGATATATAATACATTTAAATTAAGATGTAGGCATGATACTAATCACAGAGCTCGCTTTTGTTTGCTAAATAAATTATCCCGCTAGCTCACATTTCTTATTCTAATATATCAATGCAAATCTTATTCATAAATATAAACAGATTTTTAATGCTTTTAATTTTTTTTTATACAACTTAGAATGGCAAACAAGCTGACGGCCCACTTGATGGAAAGTGGTAACCGTCGCCTATAGACATGAGCAGTACCATGGACATAACAGAGTATACTGTTTCGCCCATGATACCCCCCATGTGTTGCCATTCCTGAGGACTCGGGTGTTATTCCTCTGTACCCAGTAAATTCACACCATATCCCACCCTTCAAACCGAAACACAGCCATGCAAACACAACTGCTTCACGGTTGAAACACGAATGGGACAGAGGTACCCAAGCAATCGACTTTTGTACAAAGTCTCCCTCTGGTTTATAATAATTATTTTTGTAATAATAAATTGACTAGTACAAAATTACGTTGTACGAAATTGATAACGTTAACGAAGATATTATTAATTTTAAATACATAATTATAGATAAAGATGGTTCAGTACAGAGAGAACAAAGAAAATTAGAAGGTATTTTTATTCTAAAAGCTTATATACGAGATTCAAGACGATGAATCGAAGTAGCTCGCGACGCTCCACCTGATTTTTAAATTAATTAATAGCATTCCCTTGTGTTTCCAAATTCAAAATTCACAAATCCTTTCATCTCCTTAGGGAATGAAATTTCAATAATACTTTTTTATCCGACATCACCTACTTGCAAATAATCTAGAAACGAGCACCGTGTAAAGGTATTAGTTAAATAAAATAATAGTTTTGGCTCTGCAATGATAAGTCAGTCAGGGTTTATAATATTAATATAAAAAAAAAAGTTTTAACTATGCCCTGAAGCTGTAATCTTATCTGGAGTGTAAATTTATGCAACATTGTCGCGATCGTGACTATGGGATCAGGGTATCATTGATAACGTGAAATTGACACCGCACCGTCAATCACTTTAGAGTGGGACGATTGAGTATAGGGTGTCGCGTTACAAATGTGGTTATGGTTATCGAGTACAAATTGTTTTCACTCTGGTAATTAGTAATAATGCACAGACCATAGAAATATATATTAAAAAGGAGGAAAGCTAATAAATGTATGATTTTTTTTACCAAATTTTGGTGATTATTTTACGCAATAATTATCCAAAATCGGTCAGATAAAATGTTGATGAAGAGATACTGTAATGTTTTTGAACGAAAGAATGTAATTAAAAATTAAATGTAAATACTAAAAGAGCTGTAAAATAATCACAGAATAATGTACTGTCTAAGAGATATATGCTAAAGTTTTAATGTACAAGAAGCAAAAGCAATAATAAAATAGAAAATGAACTTAGAGAACTGTAAGAAATACGAATAAAATTATATAATATGTACACAACCTGATGCTACAGACATACGCCATCTGAATACTTTTGCTGTATTGCTATAGTAAAAATATGTCATAAAACTGTTTATACAATATTTCAAAGAACTGATACAATCTTAGCAAAAGAATTATACCTAGAGGTTGACACTGATTTAGGGCTGAGCGCCGACCCCATTTGCGGAGTAACTTGGCGCATAGTTTTTTAACACAACACAAACAGTAAACAGTTTTTTTTTAATTCAGCGGTAAGGCAAACGTTTTGATTTCTAATTCCAAATAATTGATTTAAACTGCAATCTGATGCGTATGATGACGATTATAACTACTGATTTTCTCAAATATTACAACGAAACCTAGCTCTTAAATTTGATCGGACAGTTGATTGCACCATTTGTATGATTATAACAATTCGAATAGTTTTTAAAAGTAAGCCCAAGGCGATTATAGTTTCCGGTATCCTTTACGCTCCATTGTGTACATTGTATTCGTATCGGGTTGTGAAAGCAGGGTATTATCCGGTGAATATAAGATCGATTCTCGGAAATCCAGTTGACGTGTTGGAGCTCCCTCCATATTCTCGAATACCAATCTGTCGTTGAGGTTAGATTACAATGTCAATAGACGTTTTGGCCATTGGATTGCTTGTTTAGTCGAGAATTGGGAACGCGTGTCTTTTTTCTGATAACATTTTGAGTGCGACGTATTATTGTATCGTTTCGTTTAGATCTTTATCAAATTGTAGATAACGCTATCTCTTCCGGACACAAATGGATTTGTATGAAATCATGGCATGATATATTCATAACATGATGAATTATGATAAATTAAATAAACATTCGCTTTATAGTAAGAAACAAATCATTAAAAGAATAAGTACACTTACACCAAGCTATTTTATTAAAGTTGTAAAGAGAGTTACGATATCGATACCGACATCGAGATTGAGACAGTGACTTTCAAATAGTATCTCAGATTTCCTTATACAGTGAGTCCTATCCTAATACAAACAACAAAGAACCGTGGAGATCCCAACAAAAGAATATGAGAAATATCTTCGCCACTACAATTCGAAACGCATCGGTATCTACCTACATCTTTTATATCGAAAATATTTCTTACTATCGTAGTCATTTGAGCGTGTCTGCTTTTAAATAATACAAGCAATACGTAGTATATTATATTAATAATGTTATTAAAAATGACAATGTAAAGCGATGCCAACATTGATTATAAATATATTAATTAATAATATTATTAAACTTTTATGTTCCTTATGAAGAAGTTCTCAGATATCTTTATTGTATATTTATTAAAATTTACAACATTTTCATTCATATTTATGCCTCAGACAGCCAGCTATTAACATTTTCTCTCTTCGTGGAATTCTCTTTGTCATAACATTAAAGCAGTCAAATACAGAAAGGCATTTAGATTTTCTTGAGCTCCACTTTTGAAAAAACGATCTTGTTAAATTATTAGCACATTTAACACTTCAGAAATAAACTTATGTATTTTAACAAGCGTAAACAAATTATATTTTTTTCATTGTAATGATGTTATCTAATAATTTAATAACACCTACCATATTATATCTTCAAGAAACAGAGGTTTAAGGTTTACTTCATTGCTATAATAATTTATTCCAACCAAACGAACACTGTAACCGCCTATAAAATGCTTTGTAATTATCCGTTTGTTTAAAAAATGTATTACACAAATAAACTTTACGAGTCCAACGTTCAAACATAACTTTTTATTATCTCACATGTTTTCATCGCACCTAACCAACCCATGTAGGCACATGTTTAAGGAAAAATTGGTTTTATCACTGTCCGTAATTATCCAGCATACTTATAATTATGCATTCAATATACTCATTAGTCAATTAAACTCTTGTCAGTCGTCGACGATGATACATCATTATAAACATCACATACTAATAAAGCTTTAATCATACTGACGCACAATAGCAATAAAATTTTGTTATCCCTTCATGCATAAATGTTTGTATAATATTTTGGAAGCCATATTCCTGTCGGGTCCCTTTTCCTTGCCATGTTACCCGCGCCTCGCGCCACGTTGCACCGACTCGCTGCTTCGCCTGCCTCCATCTCTTTCTAACCTTAGTACCGTGGGCACACTGCGCAAAGAGTGACGCCCGGCTGATTGCGTACGCTCTGGGAAAACTTTATCGGTTACTAAAACATATTATTATTTTCTTAATTATTTTATAAAACACCAGAAAGGTATTTAACATCTACGTGAGCAGGCAGATTATTATCTAACATCTCCAATTCGTGACTTAATCATTGTACATTTGTATTTCTATAAAAAAAATCATTGGTCTGTTAAATTGAAACAGAATAAATGAGTTGTATGTTATTTGTGCCTGTCTTGTTAGTGAAGCGTCAAATGATTGCTACAGAACATAGAATATCACGATTTGAATTCCGCACTTGCCGCGGCCGCTAGCCTCCGCTCGCGGTCGGTTTAGTTTAGTTCAGTATTCGTGTAGCGTGCGTTTGTGGCGCGCGTTCGTACCTACGTACTCGTACTGGCAGCGCGTTAGTGTTACTTGTACATGTACAGTGTACACGCCATGTGTTGTATATCGGACGACTATAAAATTTATGTTTTGGTGTGTAGTGTATGCTGATTGTTTCCTTTGTCTCCGTAGGTGTCGAGAAACTCGTGACCGAGAAGCAGTAACGTGGATCGCCACCGGGATCGGGATGCCAGTGTGTCTAGTGATGGTGCATTGAGATCGTGCCAGTAACCATTAATAGTGTTAGTGTTAACTATAGTGCCCATACAGTGTTGAATGGATTGTGTTTTTTTTTGGATTGCCACCGCGAGTCATCGATAGACCTAATTGGGAACGGTAAGATTTCTTTATATTAATTTATTGATAAGATATTAAATAAGTTAGAGTAAGTTAGCTGAATAATAGTAGATTCTAAGATAACCCACTGACCATTCCTGCACATAGCATATATTATTTACGTAGCTATCTATAAAATGTTATATGTACATACATATAAGTACATATATCAGATAAATATATATTAATTGTACAAGTTTAAAATAGACCATACCGTAGTATAAGGGAATAAGTATATTGTTTTCGAATAATTCTTGTAAATGTACCTTGTAAGTATGTGTGCATGTGTGCGTACTATATAATATATACACACCATCTGGCCACTACACATAGAATGAGTAATATTATAAGTGAACTTATCTTAGGTAAGTACTTTATCTCTAGAAAAACATTTCTTTCAGCTTCAGTAAACAAGAGATATAATCTTACTGACATGTAAAAAATAACCATTGAAGACGGAAATCGTAATTGAATGAAAATTAATTCTATTTATTTACACGAAATAAATATAACTTCATTTTTAATCTGAAAGACGTCAGACCAAAAGCTAAAATGCGCTGATTCTGGCGGCGTTCCTATTTTGATTTGGAGTACAGTGTTTTCAAGGAAATAAACATTATAAATCAAACGGATGTAGAAGTACCTAATTTGTGAGAAAAAAATATCTTCGTTCTATATATTGGAAACGTCTTAACCTGGAAACGAGTGAAAATCGTGTAGGTATAACAATGACTGCATTTGACTTGCACTTTCTAATTTTATTGTTGTGTGACGTCTAAGAGAGGTCACAAAACCACGATCAACGAAAATATGAACATTTCGCATGACGTTACGTAGGTGAGCTATAATGTCGTCGTTATATAATTGGTATTATTCATAGAGTCTAATGAATTTAGCACAAGTCCACTGCCAGTAATGAGTGTAATTTATTAGCATTAACAAGCCGACCATATGCTTTAGTTCATTAATAAATAATCTCAACTTAATGATTAATCATGATAATAGCGTCATTAACAGAATGTCGAAACTGCAATACAGTTGTAGATTAGGATCTCTATCTGCGCGGGCAGTGTATTTACACTATAACAGAGTACTTATTCAAAATTGGAATCATAATGGTAATAAAATTAAGAAATGATACAGGTATTTTAAGTAATTAATTTTTTTTTCAACTATATGTGGTAGCTTTTATTAATTAGTTAGTTATTGTTATCTTATATAATTAATTATTAAGTTATTATAGCTGTAAGCTTCCCTCGAAAATAATAAATAAATAAAATGTCACTGGAACTAAAATTTTCAATTTCCATCTTGTTGAACACATTGCCTGCGACCTTTCAAATGATTAGGGTCGAATCATTTTATTCATTAAGGCTATCGATATGGTTGGTAAACTTAATAGAGTAGGAGACACTGTTAAAGATCAGTGAATCGATAGAGAAGCTGTACTTTGTTGTTCTTAACTCATGAATGATTAATGTACTTGAAATAGCTTCATCAAATTTCATTTATGTTTATTGATGATAATTGAAACTTTTAATTGAGTGCGCCGTCAACATGCAATTTTAATTAGCATAAAAATAATTACTATTTTGAAGGCGGACAGTTCCTTGAGGCGGGCGTACACAAAATGTCCACCCTAAAGTCTTGGAGCATGTCTTTGTGAATATAACCAGGCACTAATATTTCAGTAATTAATATTTAAGTTCACTTAACTACGGTTTAAATTATGAGGGATTTGAAACAGGGTCTACAAGATGATTTAAATGTATTATATATGTACATATATTTAATAAGTCACCGACGATTGGCTTCCTGATTTAGGAGTAATAATCTTCAAGAATACAAGTATAATAAGACAGAAACAAATATACTTAGTTATATATAATTGTACACAAGGGTGTATTATAGGTATATTGGAAGAAATATTTGCTAGAGATAACTAGAGGAGATTATAGTATAATATAATATATAAAATTCTCGTGTCGCGGTGTTTGTTACCAAACTCTTCCGAAACGGCTTTACCGATTTTCATGAAATTTTGTGTGCATATTGGGTAGGTCTGAGAATCGGCCAACATCTATTTTTCATACCCCTCAATGATAAGGGTGACCCACACCAGAATACTTATTTTTATTTTTTTGTCAATATTTTTTATTTTTATTTTATTATAATTTAGCATTGAAAAATACACACAAGTTCAAATTTTCACCGTTTTACGATCAATCCTTGTTTTTTAATTGCGATTTTTATATTTCGCAATAGAGTTGCAAGATGGCAATCGAATATAATAATTGTAGTACGAGAAACTTTCATGTATAGTTCCACAAATAATGTATATAGTAAAACAACGTTTGCCGAGTCAGCTAGTAATAGTATAATATAAGAGAATACCCACCATAACATAAATCAATAGTATGTTTTTCATAAGTCGTTATTTGCATATGTTTTGTCAAGTCCTAGCGTATTCTTCGACGGCAGATGCCATTACCTACTACTCAATAAATGAAACCTGAAATGTAAATGAATTCGATTTGATGTGTACTTTGTAGGCATGGGTAATATCGGTACTCCGAGATCTTGGATATCTATATTGGATTCTTCTAGACTTTGATGGCGGAAAAAATATCATCACCCATACCAGTCGAATGTCTATTTTAATCGGGTTCGTCATTTTAATATTATATTTTGGATAATTGATATTTAAGATATCCATTATTCGGCTAATATATAGATATCGTAATAACAATATATATATATATTGTAAATATATATATATATATATATATATATATATATATATATATATATATATATATATATATATTGTAATAACAATATATAGATATTGCTACATATTACCCACTCTCAGTTGCTTGTACGATTTTCCGCTGATGGACGAAGTTTGCACTGTCTACGAGTATGTTTATTATTTGATACGCAATAAATCCACAATATATTGTGCGATTATTAGAAAATAACCTTATCACCAGATAAGTAGATTACACATTACTTTCCGTATCTACACGCTTTATTAACTTTGTTTTTAATATAATTGGAGATGACAAACAAGTATATGACTTTTATGTTGCTCATGCATTGTCACTTTCAACATAAATGTGTTGTTTTATGCCAGTGAGTATTCTTACTTTTTTTTTTTATTGAAATGACAAAAGTAAAACGTGTGCATTTTATATTGCTTTGTTGTTCTAAATTTAAAAAGATGTAAAATCCTAAATATATAATGCTGCAGTGCAGAAATAGAAAATACCAGGGAATTCGACCTAAGCAATACACCGTTCTAAAACATCTAAATGTGGGAGAGTGATGGTCGTTAGTAACAAAGGATAACAGTTCCATTGCTACCAATACTTTGTCAGGTCAGCTTCACCCATCCTTCTTAGAAATCATAGTGGTTAATTCGTCACGGTGAGCCAACTGATCTGACTTTATTCTTACTTATCAAATCACTGATATGGCGCCAGCGTAAATTAATAGCACAGGCGTTATTTTTATTTATAAACTTTTTTATTTACGAAAACACTTGGATATTTAGAATAAGGGCTCCTATTGTCTTCAAAACTAGTTCGGCGCATCCTTGAATTTAAAACGTGAGTTAAGCCTACAAATTATTACAATACAGAATGACTCACGATAGTTATTATACAACATAGATATTTGGTAATTATTTTCTATTATTATTTTCGAGTTCCACAGATATTTTTATAGCGGTTCTTTGTAAATTGAAGTAAGAGATATCAGATGCCGGAATATGCAGAACAATATCGGCACGATAACTTTTAAACAGGATTGTCAGGGATATAACATTTCGAAACAAGACAGGAATAAGTTTTAAGTGTTTTATCGGTTTCGTTTATAGGTATGTACGTATATGAAATAATTCTGTAAAAGTTTTGTAAGTAAACTGCGGGAGAAGCAAAAGTTTAAAACTTCTGTCATTTTGTATCCGTGTACAATACAATTGTAGCTTCTGAAGGAATGGATCGACTTTGTTTTTTAATTGGGAATGTTCTTTACAATGCTTTATGTAAGTCTATTCTGATTTGTTTCTTTTTTCTTAGCAATGTCGTGATTAATATTATTATGTTGTTTGTATGTATTAATATTACATTGTCCTAGTGGCATTCGGCAGGCGTTGTAAAGTCATGTAAAAAAGTGACCAACCCATTTCTACTCTGCTTGCTTATCCTTCGGGCCATGTCGGTCAATATAGTTTTTTTGCGGATCTCCTCATTTCGGATTTTTATCACGTAAAGAAACTCCGAACATTTCTTTCCATAACTCGTTGAGTTACTTGAAGCTCTTGCATACGTTATCCAGGTTTTAAAATAAAAGATTTTCAATATAATGTGCCTACGAAAGATCTTGTCTTTTGTCACAACTGAAGTCGTACTTTTTGTATGGAACTAAATGTATTTGTTTAAACCTAAGATTTTAACAATTTTTATGACGTTCATAATAATTATTTTCCTTCCCTTTCTAAGATAAAATAAAACCGTCATTATGTTTTTTTTTTACTAAACAAAGTATTCAAATTTTTTTTAATGGATGACAATGCAATGGTAAACTTGCCTGCTCTAACGGTATTCGATGACGGGGCACCAGTGAGGGAGGATAGATGAGATGAAAAGGCAGGTCAGGTAGCCTATCGTGATGAATACACTAGGAATTCAGCACGATGGTTTCTAGGAGGGACCACGTGGAGTTCGACCCGACAGAGTACATTGCTAGCAATAGGACGGGTTGTTCGCATTACTAACAATCCCTTCTTCTCTAGTATTCAAATGTTACCTTTGTGTATGTGTGATATGTAAATGTATAATTTTTTTATGCAACTTAAAATGGCAAACATGCTGACGGCCCACCTGATGGAATGTGGTAACCGTCGCCTATACACATGAGTAGTACCATGGACATAACAGTGTATACTGTTTCGCCCATGATACCCCTCATGCGTTGCCATTCCTGAGGACTGAGGT